AATACAGATTAAGAGAACCAGAATATCCATAATGACAAAAAAAAACCCCTAACTTTAAAAAAAAAAAAAAAAGGTATGTAGATTGTCTGGTTCAATCTACCCTGGCTCCAGTATTCAACCAGAAATAAAACTGGATTASATTTACTAATTCTAGGTTTACTTTCACTAGGGAAACCATTATTGGGAACAGATATTCACATTAGCAGTCTTTTTATTGGAGTAGATTCTTACAGGGAAACTCCCAACTTCCTAGGATAATGCATTGAGATGAACTGTGCCTCACTGTGCTTTAAATATACATAGCTGTGTTTCCAAGTAAACCAGGCAACTTGCAATAGTATGTCTGTGGCCATTTTTCAGACTTAACTGTTACTTATGGSAAATGGTCCTACATAAATTGCACTTACAGGACTAACAAGTAATTTAAATGCARAATAGTGTAGTGTCCCAAGCACTCATAATTTACATGATCAGAATGGATCCCCTATATTCAAAATAGAGAAGAAAAAAAGGGGTTGACTTGCAGTAAAATACTACTGCCACCATAAAATCACAGTCTACTGCTAGCTGCCAGATCTAAATAAATAGTGGTTCAAATGTTGGATTACAGTGGTATCAAGCTATCAGTTTACACTCTTTTCAAGAGCAGTTATTGCAAGGCTTGCTGAATTGATGCCTAAATAATATTAATTTCTCTTCTAAAATATTTATCTAACTTCAAGTGCTTCACAAAAAGACTAATGTATATCTTCACCCATATTCCTTTTAGATGTTCACAATACAAAGTATCCTGAAGCCTCTAGGATGTCTCAGGAAATACATGTCCTGTGGTATCCTGATCAATTTTCTTCCAGTTATGTGACATGSCCCCACCCACTGTATTCTTTCATTTATCCTGGTGTATATAGCCTACCTTGCAGAATTGCAAGGGGAGATGGCAGGGATCCAGGACAACCTGTCAGCACAAGCAGCAGTGAGGTGATGAGTCAGCAGAGGCACTGTGTGTCTTTGCGGTTTGCTGCAGCACTGCTCACTCCAAACCTTCCCAGAGGCAAGTCTTACCTTTGACCTTGAAAAGTGTCCCCAGCTCCTGCTCATCCTTATTTTGGTGAAAGGGAGGATGTGTCTTTCAATGAACCTGAAAATGTGAGGCTGCCCTACAGAAGCTAATAACTCAAGGAACAGAGGCTTAACTTGAGGACAAGACTGGCAATTTTGTAAAGCAACTCATTAAGAACCTTCACATAAACTGAAGTGCTAAAACTATTCAAAAATAGCGTAATTTCACTGCATTTGAGCCACATTGCATTCTGTACATACCCAATGTGAAAACTGCACATAGAAAAATCCAACAGATACTACATACACTATGATTATTTAGAATAAGACAAGATTATCCAGGGTTCAGAAATAAGATGTCTACATTGAAAGAACATCAATGTGGCCACTTGTGTATTCAGGTATTTATTTTGTCTTCATTCTTTATACTGCTATTTTAACAGGAAGAATTTAAATGGCTCCCTCTTGTGTCAAGAAAAATGCAGTATCACATTTGGCAAAAATTAGTCCTTGAGCAGAAATTAGAACTTACACTGCACAGTCTATTTATCAATATGTTGTGGTGACCGATGAGGAGACTGAACACATCTATCCCTTGCTGCTCAGGTACTCTTTGAAACTGCTTAAAAGAAGTACCTTAAACTGTAAAATTTTACCTTTCAGATGCATATGATGAAGGGTAGACAAAAATAGCTATGGTGCACAGAATAATCACTCTGTATCTTAAGAGTTGCTTGTTAAAGGGCTTCTATAGTGGCACCCCACAATCTATTTCCACACTTCAGAGTAAAAACTGATGAGGATAGACTTAACTAGGGTCTATTGAGTCTAATGTGTGTACTTAGGCTCAAAACTGCTGTTCTGAAAATACCTTATCAGCTGCCACCTGGGACTAGGTAGATCTAAACTCAAAAATACTCCTTTTATCTATCTAAAGTTACTTTTCAGAACCCAATCACCATCAGGTTCTTAATGGAACTGAGCTACCTGCTTCATATTCCAAGCCTGACAGGATAGGATGAGGTAACTGGACATTTCATTACCTATTTTTTTGAGGTACTCATTCTGAAATTGTTTGGAAGGTACTTACAAAAAGATTGTGTTGCACTATATATACACATATAAATATATATAAAACATATTTTCAAAATCCTATTTTATCTTAAATATGGCCAAACACTGGTGCTYTTAACCGATAATCTAGTGGCTAGGGTACCTGTCTGGAAAGTGTGAGAGACCAAGATTCTCAGATGGCGAGCATTTAGTATCCTCCTCCCTGGATTATGTGGTTCTCTTGTGAGTTATTACCAAACTGCAGGCTGTTCTAGATGACAGGTGTTCTTCAAGTCTTTGATAGCTTSTGTGGAGAAAAGAATAAAAAAAACTGATTGATCAAAAAAGCTCATGAGCTGTATCTTCAGTGGTAAAATCCCTCCAAGTTAGGCTTTAGAGACTTAGCACTAACATTAAGTCAGTGCAGGAGCATTTTTCTAGTCAGTTTGCAGTCTTTCCAGCATAATTGTCCTTTGTGAGATATCGGCATGCCTAAAATAGAAACACTAAAATCRTATTTGATACTTGTTTACATTACTCCTGTTTAAATGCTTTAATGCAAAATATTGAAAGAGGCAAAAGTCAATCTCTTTAAACGTGGCAAACTTTGAAAAGCTTCTGTTTTCTTATTGACCCAAAGTAAAGCTAGATGCTTTCATGCTGACCTTATTTACTTGTTTTGCAGCAAAAGACTAACGTAGCAGAATACACACTTGAGACACCAGGCCAAGTTATGAGACAGGCTTGAGCTATTCTTCCCATGTCACTTCTGCATTTGCCTTATAATTGTAATTGTGGAATTCAAAATGATTATGTTCAGGGTTCCTTTCAGTAAGCACTGAGAGAAGAACCATGAGGCCATAAAAGCCTGCAAAGCCATAGATTTGGGGTGAGATTATTTAATCCCTGTAAGAGGGGAAAAAGCTCATCCTGAAATTATTATGGGCAACAGAACTTGGCATTTGTTAGCTTTAATACGGAAATGGGACCTGTTGGGGCCTTTGGTGTCACTGAATCAATTTGCTGCATGAAGCTGGAATTCAGGTAAGCTAAGGTAGGGTATATTACAGATACTTGGGAAGGGGGTGGAAGAGGTATGTTTTTATTTTAAAGTAAGTGGGAACACTTTTCATAAAGCTACTCAGGAAAATGGCATTCCTTTGGGTGACATTTAGCTTCCACTATGGCTAAGATTTTGTATACCAGAAATTATGAGGGAGACTCATATTAGAAAGCACTTCTCAAAGAAACCTCAAGCCAGTACTCTTGAYACTTTTTGTGAAAGAAAATTAGGTTTGTGGTTTCTTAGTAAGCTTTTGTGCCTCATTCCTGCTTAACCTCAGGTGATGAATGGAAGCCCAATCCTTAAACAAGGTTTGGACTTGAAATTTAATATTGCTCCCTTGTGTGTGCATAAACAATAGGTATCCTGATTTAAACAATAATTTTGCCATCAGAGGGAGGAGACTTTGATGCAGACTTTGTTTGGCGTCTACGTGACAGCAAACCTCGCTGATTTATGTACAGGCAGTACCATCACCAGTCAGGATCAAGTTTCCTTTGACTTGTGTGTAACTCTTAATGGAGAATGCTGTAGCCTGACTTTACATGAAGCTTTTGACAAGCCACCTGTTTCTCAGGTAGCTGAAATATGCAGTTTATTCCTAGACCTAAGCTAAGAATCTATACCACAGCAAATATTTACAGCCTTAATGGACTGCAAGATAAAAAGATCTCATTTATTTATGCCATAYAGGCATCTTTCTTTCTGATAGGCAGTATGAGTTCACCAGTTCCTGTAGSATAGCTACATGTTTCTTTAAATAAACCCACCCTGATCTCACTTACTGAAACATAAAAGTGAAGGTTTATATATAACCAGCTTCCCACCGCCGCCTCCTGTGCCAATGGTTTTCCAGGCCCACTCCTATGMGAAGCGCTCGAGCAGTGTAAGCGGATGTTGCATAATGTGATTATGGGCTGCTCCAAACTGTGGAACGTGTCCCACTTGCGGCATGTTACACACGGCTGCCTCGATTCTTTCACTGGAACAGAAGCTGTGATACTGCTTTTATATTCCTGGCAGCTGTCAAATGCTAAAGCGGAAGATTAGGGGATTGAGGCTTTTTTTTTTTTTTTTTTNTTTAAAAATATGTCTCATCCTAGCCGCTGCATTTGCTTGAATATTTTTCCACTGGGCTGCATGTGCTGAGCTGCACAAAGGTGGCTTCCATGTGAATAACTTGTTATTCTTACCAACCATGATAACTGCTGTAGTGAAATCAAGAGCAACCTGCTCTAATGTAAACTGATTGCTCCTGGCAGTCTCAGCTATCTCACCTAACCTTTTCTTTTTTGGCCAGTCTTTTTCTCCTTTTTTTTTTTTTTTTTTTTTTTTTTTTTTTTTTTTTTTGTTTTTTTTTTTTTTTTTTTTTTTTTTTTTTTTTTTTTTTTTCCCCTCAGTACAGAAAACCTATCGGTTCCTCTCTCATGCTTTTAGTTCTGAAGGGGGAGATTACATTTCAGGTTATGTCTTCCTCTGTCTGATTCCTGTACACCACCCTCATATTACAGGAATTTGCACGTATATGTAACTAGGATTTTTTTTTAAGTCACCGTCTAAAGTGTATCTAGGCGGTGTATCTACCGCTGAGGGAACATGGCGGTGAGCTCCCGAGTTGTCTCCAGCACCAGCCGCAGTCGCCATCACGGGTTTGCTGCGCTCCTTCTCGTGCCCTGTAGCTGCCCCCCGAGTCGCCGCTGTGCCGGGGGTGTCACACCCGGGGATGTCACACCCGGGGGGTTCCGGCGCTCCCCGCCCCTCACTCCGGTCCCCCCGCGGCCCCCGGGCCGGCTCCGGGACTGAGGCGGCGCTGCGCAGGCGCGGCGGGCGCGCGGGATGCGGGCGGCGGGAGCGCATGGCAGGTGGCGGGAAGCGGAGGCCGCGCGGCGCGGCGGGACCGGCCGGAGAGCAGGTGGGGCGGGGACAGCGGGGACAACCCTGAGGGCGCCCGGGTAGGCGGGAGAGCCACTTCCGAGGGCCGCGGGTGCCTTGTGGTGTCTGTTGGTCCTCTCTCTCCTTGCCCCTCGTTCTGGTTTGCTCCGTGGCTTTGGGAAAGTCACAGGGCCCCGCGTTCTCCTGCGCGGGAGCCGCTCCTCCACCTGGGCATTTCCCGGGGACCGCCCGGTGCGCTGTGCCCAGCGGCTGCCGCATCATCCCGGCGGGACTGGGCTGGGAACGGGGACACTCGCCGTGTCCCAGTTTATCAGGAGGCGGCACTGCCTGAGGGGTGAAGTGTCACCCCCCGCATTGTCCGCTTCTGAGAACAGGAAAGAAACCTTGTTGCTTCCCCCCCCCCCCCTTTTTTTTTATTTTTAAATATGGGGGAGTAACGATTCGTACCAATTCGTGGAGACTTATTTGGGAATGGGGTAGCTGAGGCTATCTTTCAGGGTCATTTCCTAGCCTGCTTCAGTTTACGTCTTTACGTAAATCATTTTTAAAAACAACYTCAGCATAAATCGCCTTTAAAATGCTACACTGAAAACTGCAGTGGTCATGATGTTGAATGACACAGTAGTTTAGATAGTAGAGACTAGAGCATTTTTGTTGCGTTATTTAATCAGACTTGACAAAATAGTGTCCCTACTGTCTGTAAAACACAAACGTAAGTGTGCAGTCTGCAGTATGATGGGAAATGGTAATTTTAAAACAATGTAGAATTACATTAAACATTGGGATTGTTTTGCTCCTTYGCTTGATTAACTTATATTGACCCGTTAATATCAAACTAGCAGTTTGGTACTTCAGACACGTTTAGCACATGTCAGACTGCCCTTTTAATGGATTCTGTCCAAAACATGTTTTAGTCTGTATATATGCTGCTTTAACTAACAAAAATGCCCTAAAGAACTTAATAATTGTTCCTCCSTTAATATAAAAGCTTTGTAGCATCCTTTGGTAGAGGTGACAGAAAACAACTAGATTAACTCTTGTTTTGGGATGGTTTTTCTTTCTTTAATCTACAGARTGAAAAAAATGGAGCTGTCAAGAAGAGAAGATCAGATCAGACAGATATTCCAGATAGTCTTTGCCAAGAAGCAGAAACATGCTATCGGCTTAGACTGCCTGAGGACTTYTACCAGTTTTGGAAGTTTTGTGAGGAACTAGATCCTGAGAAACCAAGTGGTGAGGTTTTAAATTTTGGTTCTTTTAACTTTCACTCCCAAAAGCAGCCTGAAGGCAGGTAAACTGGAGGTGGTCAGGTGTATTCTAGTGAAGCTTCAGTTTTTCAATTGCGATAGAGTGTAAATTAAAATGCTGGATAGAATCACCAAGATGTACACTTCAAGCTTTCTAAAATGTGACTACTTCAGTTGTACGAAGAGACTAAATGTGGTCTAAATCTGCCTTTCTTGAAGGTTCATTTAAAATGTTTAGTATGGAATTCATGTTTCCTCATATCGTGGTTTAATCCCAGCCAACAACTGAGCACCACAAATGCACTTGCTCACTCTGCCTTGGTGAGATGGGAGAGAATCAGAAGGATGAAAGTGAGAAAATGTGTGGGTTGAGCTAAATGCAGTTTAATAGGGAAAGTAGAGGCCACGTGCCTAAGCAAAGCAAAACAAGGGATTAATTCATCACTTCCTATTGGCAGGCAGGTGTTCAGCCATCTTCAAGAAGGCAGGGCTTTGTCATGCTGAGCATGATGCCATGTGGTATGGAATGTCCCTTTTGGTCAGTTGGGATCAGCTGTCCCAGCTGTATGCTCTCTCAGCTTCTTGTGCACCTACAATCTCCTCACTGGTGGGATGAAATGAAGACTTTAATTCAGTACAAGCACTACTAAATCTGTATTTCAGCCTCCTCAGGTTTATTATATAACAGAATGTGGCATCTCTGTGTGCTCTAGAAATGACAGCATCTTTCAGTGTCACAGAATGGTTTGGGTTGGAAGGAACCTTTAATGGTCATCTAGTCCAACCCTCTACAATGAGCAGGGACATCTTCAATAGGACCAGGTTGTTCAGAGCTCTGTCCAACCCAGCCTTAAATGTTTCTAGGGATAGGTCATCCACCATGTCTCTAGGCAGCCTGTTCCAGAGTTTCACCACCCACATTGGAAGAAATTTGTTATATCTAGTCTGAATCTACCCTTGTATAGTTAAAATCCATTACCCCTTGTCCTCTTGCTCTAGGCCTTGCTAAAGTGTTTGTCCCTACCTTCAATACCTAAAGTACTGAAAGGCTGCAGTAAAGTCCCTGGGGCCTTTTCTTTTCCAGACTGAGCAACCCCCACCCTCTCAGCCCATCRTCACAGGACAACTGCTCTGATCATCTTCATGACCTTGCTCTGGACCCACTCCAACARGTCCATGTCCTTCTTGCGTGGACAACCCCAGAGCTGGATGCAGCACTGCGGGTGGGGTCTCACCAGAGTGGAGCAGAGAAACAGAATCCCCTTCTTCACSCTGCTGCCCACGCTGCTTTGGATGCAGCCCAGGACATGACTGGCTTTCTGGGGTGCAAGTGCCCATGGCCAAATCATGTCCAGCCTCATACCCCAGCAGCCCTAAGTCCTGGGCAGGGCTGCTCTTAATCTGTTCATCCCCAACCTGTGTTAACACCAGGGGTTGCCCTGACATAGGTGCATCATCTTCCACTTGGTCTTTTTAACCTTGTGAGAGTCCCATAGGCCCAATTCTCAAGCCTGTCCCTCGGGATGGTATTCCATCCTTCAARAGTGTCATCTGCATCCCTCAGCTTGGTGTCATCTGCAAATTTGCTGAGGTTCACTGAACCAGTCTTGTGTAATTGATAAAGATTAATATTAAACAATAGTGGTCCCAGTACAGAGCCCTGAGGGACACTGCTCATCACTGATCTCTATCCAGACATTAGACTGTTGATGGCTACTTCTTATGAGAAGTGTAATAACTCCTGGATAAAAGCTGTCGGGAAAACAATGCCTTAGCTTTCCTTGTCTACTAAACAAAGTGTTTGACTGAATATATGGAAACTTTTGAAACCTGAGCAACACAAGAACTTCATGATCTCGCTGTGCACCTGAATGTAAATAACTCTGGCTTGCTTTTCAGATGCACTTGTGTCAAGTGTTGGACTTAAGCTGGTTGGACCATATGATATTCTTGCTGGAAAACACAAAAAAGCTAAATCAACAGATGTGAACTTCAGTCTTCATTGGAGATTCTTCTATGATCCCCCAGAATTTCAGACTATACTTGTTGGGGATAGCAGAACACAGTATCACATGGGATATTTCAGGTATTTTTTTCCTTGTGTCCTGTTGCTCCACTATAACTACACATAGCTTTTGTCCTCTTTTGTTCCCATGAAACCTGATTTGAAGGTTGTGTGCTATCACCTTTCTATTTTTTTAGTAGAATATTAGCATATAGCTTGCTATCTTTTTATTAAAAAAGGTCACGAGAATGGGGGTTGAAGACTAAATATAAATATTTATTAAACTGCCTCCTCCAGCCATCCAGAGCACCTTCACTTACTGATCTTGAACTTTTGACATGATACCAGGAAGAAAATCTAATGAACAAAAGGGAAAGCTTATTCTCTCTGCCGGTATGGATATGAGCTYTTTTCAAGGCTTGCTGTAAGATTTTAGAGCTCTAGATCTAGGGGTATGTCTTGGTAGGTTTCTGAAAGAGATGGCAGCATGGTGAGGAGCCAAATTTAGTTTTACTTAGAAATAGGAGAAATGGACACAGCTTGGCTATTTTGTGTGTACTTTTTCATCAACAGGGATGTGCCAGATGAGCTCCCAGTGTGGGTTGGTGCAAATGAAGCTAAGAAGGGTTGTGTGATTTCACAAGTTGGTGATAATATCTTTGCTGCAGTCAAGTAAGGTTCATATTTCTATTTATAAATAGAATAGAGAGAAATGGTTATTGGGAGGTGTGATGTGGAATAATTAAGCTAACTTATTATATGTCTTCCTTCAGAAGCCCTCACTTATTTTCTGCCCCTGCTGACAAGTTTTAAAATTCTCTCAAAAGCTTTTGTAGGCTTTTTGACAGCATTTTCCTTTCAGAAGTAAATTAGCTAAGTGTTAATTGCGACATTCTTTAAATATGTTGGTAGTTACAGGCTCTGCATTTGAAAAAAATATCCTCTGGGTGTGTTAAAATACTTTATAAGTAAAGAAAGGGCATCTCAAACACTGGTTGAGGAAATCTGGGTATCATAGTAGATGAGCAGCATCTGCCTCATGTTCTTGCCTACATAAAAATACATTATTTTTGTATCTAATATCTACAGGAAGTACCATTTCTGACCTGTGGCAGGATAACAGTTACATGGATATTTYGTTCAGTATGATTCATGGAGCTCTACATGCTCCTGTGCCAGGAATGTAAACAACTGATCTCACCCCTGCTGGTTAAAAATGGAAAGCTCCCTAAGGACAGACACATGTCAGTCAGTGAAAGCAGACTGAAGATGGCCTCTGCAAAAGAACCCTTGTGCAGTTTAGAGTTAAACAAGGACTTTTAAAAGTACCATAGGGAAACTCATAAATGTGTATTTGTGTGCGTGACTTGGATAACAAATGGTGTATATGGCACTGAAGCAGCAAACTGAATTCTTAAGATAGAAAGATGAACAGTTACTGAGGGTTGGAGAACTTTCAGCACCCGTAGATTGCATAAACTAGATTGTACTGCAGATACAGATAAGAAGAGCCCAGGTACTGGCTGTGCCAAACTATTTTCTTTCCTCTTGTTAAGAGGCTTGCATTTTCAAGTCTCTGTATAAATAAACACAGGACTGCTAATCTTCATTGTAAGATCTGGAGGTTTAGCATTTAAAAGGCTATTAACTTGTTTGGCTTTCTCTTAAGTTCTTTAAGACATGTTTCTTCTGTTTGCAGATTATTTTTGTCAAAAAAACTTAAGGAAGTGACTGATAAAAAGAAAAATGCTGTTTTGAAGGACATAGATGAAAAGCTAACAAGAACAGCGAAAGAACTGGGTTATTCTCTGGAACAAAAAACCCTGAAGATGAAACAGAGAGATAAGAAAGTATGACTTTCCTCATCCACTGGAGAGAACTAAGTTCTGTTAAATTTTTTTCACTCACTTCCTGTTTGTGTTTTTTCATCCTTTTGGTCAGTAAGGGTGCTTCATTTAGGAATCTCCAGAGGTAATCAGCTCTCTATAAAACTTCAAGAGAGGGAAGATTACTRTAAGTGTGTTCCGAGTAATAAAATGAAATAAAAACATTTTACTCTCATAATTCATAGCTTGACATTCAATTCAAAACAAAAAGAACAAACCACCACCAAAAAAAAAACACAATAAACCCAGTAGTCTGAAAACTAAAAGAAATGGAGGGCATGGAGAAAACTGCTTTAAAAGTAAGGTTTTTGTAAACAGTTGGGTTGAATCTATTAGAAACAGAACCATTAAGGATGATATGGATAATAATAGAGGTTTTTTGCATACCTATCAAAAATCATTATGGTAGGAGGTTACTAAACAAATGTGGTACAGTTACACAAGTGACTGCAAAGGTTTCTAGATTTTAGAACTTGACTGGAGTCAAACTTCAATACTTGAAAGTAACTGCAATATAATTTGAAACCAAGTTGATGTCCTGGAGCCAGGTATTAGGTTTGACCTCCAGCAGTCAGGTATTAGTGTTCAGTGAGGTGAGTGATTTTTATGTCACAGTACTGTCTTACGGTGCTATGTTCCATTTCCTATCTCTTTATTCAGGTGGTGACCAAAGCATTTCATGGAGCAGGCCTAGTTGTTCCTGTAGACAAAAATGACGTTGGATACAGAGAACTTCCTGAAACAAATGGTAAATATCTTGTTTACTGTATCCTTGTGCTTTTTTTAAGTGAACAACCCCCAGCCACGCTCTGCAAAATACTAACTTCATTCATATTTTCTATTTAAAGAATTTGCAGGGTGGGAATAAAAAGTAGAAGTCCCACTTGAGCTCAAAGTACTGTCTTTAAAGGAACCAGATGRGAATCAGTGAAACATGCTAAATCTGAAAAACTAATTCCTGAAGTAGTAGTTTAGATGACCTTTTATATTGGCACAGCCATGCAGGAAGTAGATCCAAAAAAACAAACTACATTCAGGGACTTACAGGTTTGTTATCTACTCTCTTCTTCCAGTTTGTTTCAACTGGAATCAGTTCCTTGATGCAGTTTCACCAACTAATGCTTGTCTCCCTCTATGAGGAACAGAGGGATGGGCATGGGGCAGGAGTGAGTGTTTCCTCCAGGGAAAGGAGGAAGCTTCACCAGCAGTTCAGGTTGTGCCCACTTACACACTTACATTTAAGTGTGACACATGAGTATAGTTTTGCCACGGACTGCTTCTGTGCAGTATTAAATTTCTTTATTTAAACATCTAATTATCTTCTTTTTTTGCAGCTAATCTTAAAAAAATTTGCAAGGCCATTGTTGATGCTCCCACTGATGAGGAGAGAGTGAAGGCCTTTGCACCCATTCAAGAAATGCTGACCTTTGTTCAGTTTGCTAATGATGAATGTGACTATGGAATGGGGTATGAACTGGGCATGGACCTGTTTTGCTATGGATCACATGTGAGTACTGCAACAGTCATACTTCACAAAATTAWGCATTATTTTATACATGGACTAGAAGTTGTTCTGTTGTAGATTAATTATCCYTAGGAACTGTAGAGGTCTAGGAGAATATTTTTAATTCATGAAGAATGTTAAAATGTCACATGACATCATTCCACATCGAATTTAGAATGTGTGCATGAAAGCCCAATCCTGCAATCCAGAAGCAAAGACTGCCACCTGGGTCTCTTCCCTAGTTCTCTGTTAACAGCGAATATCATCAGTAAGGTGATTGAATTAATAGCATTTAGTAACATAAAAATTACASTTAATGCTTTTTGTTCTGTATTATCCACTGGCCTGTTGATGAAAAGGGTCATGGCTGTAATCAGTCTATGGCTAGAAAGTTTCAAAACTACTTAATATGAATGGAAGGTCACAGAAACACTCCTGTAAAATAGCTGCTGCTTGTAAAACTAGTATTGGCTAAGTGGTGCTTTGGAGTATGTGAAAGGTAAGTCTTGCAATACTACATGTAGGCCCAAAAGAGTTGTGCTGAACGCTGGTTAAAATGTTTAGCCATTGAAGTGATGGAAACTCACTGCTCTTTCCATACACTATTTTCTGCTCTCTTAAGTTCCAGACAGAATCTGAAAATGTGTGGTATTTTCCTTTGATACGCTGCKCTTTAGAACCCTTCTTTCAGACTAGGCTGCTTCCGTTGCTTAAATCCTTTCTTCAACAGGAAGGGCACTGAAGGCAGCAGTCCGAAGGGGTGGAGGCAAATACTGATCTTTCACGCTTTGTGCTTCTCAGCATGTGAGACTCACCACTGACAAAGTCCTGCAGTGAAAATTTGTGTTTACAGTACTGTCATGTGTCTTGTCTGTCTTATGCTGCAGCTTGACACATCTGTAAGTTTGCAGCYGTTTTCTAGAATTAGAAACCTTCATTTCTAGTTTAGTAACCATAATAAACAGTGGCTTCACACTTGATGCTATAGTTAGGTCCCTGCCTGTCTTGGGKCTCCTACAAGGAGATGTTTTCCAGCTCTGACTGGAGCCTTTCTGTTCTTTTGCTTACGGAGCCAGAGAAACACCCTTTATCTGTAGCCCAAGACAAAGAAAAGGACTTAAATCTTGTCCCCTTTGTTTGAGAGGTACAATGGACTTAGTCACTGCAAATGCTAAATATGCTCTGACGTTTATACATTTGAAGTGCTTAAATGGTTACTGAAAATACCCCCAAGGGCTGCTTCCTTCAGTGCCCTTCCTCAAACTGTGGGATGGGGCAAAACATGGGACTGTGACAGGATAGGGGACTTCAACTGCAGGCTGGAGCTTTGGATGCTGTAGTGGGACCATCATCTCTCGCGCTGCTAACAGTCGGGTTTCCATCTGCTGCAGCAGCCCATGCACCCCAGCCTGCCCTTTTGGGCAGCCCATGCACCCCTGCATGGTGAGGGTGTGCTGGGCCCTGTGGGAGTGATTGAATTGAGTGAAGCAGGAGGTGGGGCTGCTCCTTGGATAAACAAAGCCACTAACGCCAAAGGGGCTGCTCTTCTTTTCCCTTCTCTCCTGCAGTACTTCCACAAGACGGTGGGCCAGCTGTTACCCCTGGCTTACACCCTGCTGAAGAGGAATCTCTTTGCCGAGATCATCGAGCTGCACCTGAGCAACCGGCGGGAGGAGGACCTGGATCAGCTGGCACCCTGAGCGGGCACCGGGGCTGCAGCGGCGAGGGGTGTGGCCCTGCACGCCCGGGTCCGGGCTTGTCTTTGTGTGTATGTGTGTTTGTGGGTCTTTTGTACTCGGTGGCGGTGTCCCCTGCGATCAGTAAAGGTTTTCTAAGGAACATGCTGCTTCCCAGCTGGCTGTGTGTGGTGCGCCCGGGACGGGGAGTGGGGCCGGGGTGAGGTGCTGTGGGGCAGAGCTGTCCCCGGGCAGGGCTTTGGCACCCACCTTGCCCTGCCCTGCCCTGCCTGCCGGCCCGGGGAGCCAAGCCTGGGCCGGGTCTGGGGCTCTGAGGAAGCAGGGGAAGGGCAGGCTGCTGCCCAGCATTGCTTGGAGCACCTGCAGGCCCGGTGGTGGGCAGCGACTCACGGCAGGGCTGGGTCGGTGTGGCTCGGTTACTGCTTGCCTGTTCCGTACACATCCGAGCCCCCACGGCCCTGCTCCAGCTGATAGATGTGCTGTTCTTCATTTCCCCGGTTGTGTCCCACGCTGCAGGTAAAGCATTCCCTTCCTGCAGCGTTCCCTTCTCTGGCGGAGCACTATCCCTGCTCCTACATTGCTGGAGCTGGCTCTAGTGGGAGAAGACTAATGCGATGAAGGAAATGCTAACTTTATTACATTACAAAAGAAATTARGAATTCCAAAGCAGTTGCTACCTTGGTAATCAGAAGAAGCCATCTCAGGTTTTAAAATTTAAAAATGAAACCAAACTGATATTGTACAAGGTGCAAATTAGTTGTTTTCAAGGTTGTTGGCACACAGTTCTATGTTCATGTTACTGCACTTGGGAGATTTATTCTCCAGCAACTGATTAAAGTAACAGTCCAGGTAACAACGGAAAATAACACTTGCTCTTACTCAACAGCTCTGCTCCCATACATACCGTGACTTGACTTCGATGGTAGAAATTCCCACTATTACTAATGACGGTAATATTAATTACTACTTACAAAGATTATAGGCCGCTAGCACGGCATCATTCTCAAATTTAAGTAATTCTTACCTTTTTCAGCAAAGCAATGTCAGTTATGTTACTTTACGGTAGAAGGGAGCGTTGGAGGTACAATGTAGATTTGAGTGCTTCAAAAGTATCTTGAATTTCAAATGAACAAGATAATTGCATGCCGCAGCTACTTTTGTAAATTTGATGACCTCACCCCTTTCACTCATGACGTAAATGTCCCACTTATTCAAGCACAAACATATGGGCACTCTTCCGTAGGCCTAAGGTTTGGTTTTAGTACCTCTTTTCTGTATTTCTTGAACCTTCCTTATTCCTCTTTTTATGTTTCAAATACAGGAGACCTTTATCTTAATGCTCTCTATGAGTACTTTCTACTCAAAGTGTAGAATCTTGGAGAGGTTTGAGTTAGAGGGGACCTTAAAAATTCAACCTTTGAACTGTAACTTAAATAGGAACTTAGATCTGCAAAAATGAGGACCTAAGACTGGATGCCTATACTGATCTATTAACCCCTGCTGGAGAAAGAAATCTATTACACCCACTGCAGAATATGTGATGTGCTGTGTATAATTAAACTGGAGACAGACTTTTCAGCAGGGCCTGCTGCACTAGGACAAGGAATAATGGTTTTAACTAGAGTAGATTCAGCTAGACTCAGGGAGGATTTTATTATGAGAGTGGTGAAACTGTAATGTGTTGCTCAGAAGGGTGGTACATGCCCCATCTCTGGAAGTGTTTAATGGAGGGAGCTGAGCAAAGCTAGGTCTAGAGGAAGGTGTCCCTGCCCATCACAAGAGGCTTAAGAGTAGAACATCTTTAAGTTCCTTTCCAACCCAAGTTATTCTGTGAAATACACATCATKAACAGTTTAGACAATGGAAGGATTGTCCACTTTTAACTTTTAAATCAGAAAGCCAACTATTCTATAATTAAAACAAAAATGCCCCACTTAAGGCTGACTTGTTTGGTAGGGGTAGCTACTGATTTGTAGCCAAATGTCAGGCAATGCATATACTGCATCTCCTAAAATCCATTCTTTTCATCAAATCTTTGTACTAGTTTTGTACATAAAATTCTTAGCTGTTAATTTTCTCAGGGAAAATAACTGCAAAAATCAACACAAATATCGTTTGTGAAAACATGACAGAACAATAAATGGTCATACAGAAGTTTTTAATGTTTGATTAAATCATCACAGTAATGAGAATTTTTACTGTAATGATATACAGTTCTACCACACTATTATAAATAAAAACATTAAGATCAATATTAAATACAGCTCTAGGCAACATCACAGATTAACAAAGAATGCATTCTTCATGAACCAGTATATGAATGATTTAAAAAATAAAAAAAATGCTGACACTTTCCCCCTCCCATCCATCACTTTTTTTTTCTCAAATTAGTAACTTGAGTAAGGCGCTGCAAGTTTCATGTTAGAAATTTTTTGTTGCACAGTACAGGCACACATACTTCATTACCAGAACCTCTACTGTATGTTTACCAGAAGACATTTTAAATGCCAACAGGGAAAGCTTAGCAGGTTAAGAGGAGTAAACAGAGATGCACAATTTATATGCAGCACTCAGGATCCACACAGAAATTATGAAACTCAGCAGCAGTGTGAACTGTATTTAAATTCAGACAGTGCAGACTGCAGAATTAGGTGCAAGTTAATACAGTACACACAGCAGTGTTTTACAATAGCATCAGATTTCAAACTGATTTTTGTACATGTAGTGAGTTTGTATTCTTCCACTATAGAAAAAAAAAAATCAGACAACGGGAATCAGTGGCACAGACAACTTCCAGAGCAGTTTTCTGTAAATGGGCCAAATCCTGCTCTTTATGAAGCTTCCTCTTCTTCAAGCTTATGCAATGTAACAGAGCAAATTCTTAACCACTAGCACTAACTTCATGTGGAAGAGTACAGCTGATTGCTGCCATGCTCCCATTTTCATATAGCCTAATTCCCTGTTTCAGTACCAAACATTTTTTAATACAGGGCCTGATCACTGTGATCTCCCTAGCACATTCCACTTTCTACTGGTTCCAGTTGCTGCTAGATATGAGATGATAAAATGTAGACGGCAGTTTTTTACTAGGAAAAATCAGTTAAAATTTAACAGTGCACTTACTTAAGCACAGCCAGTAATTGTGCAGCTTGTCAAAAGTACAAGAATTTTGGTTCATTGTGTTAATTGTATTTGAGATAAAATCATACTGAATACTTTGAATAAAGATGTTTGAGGTAACTGTGATGAATGCCTTAGAGATATTTAAATTATTATGTTAGACTTTCAGTGTTTATTTTTTTGCCATTTTTGTAGTCTTGTGAGCATAATTGTTAAAAGAAAGAAATTTTATTGAACCCCACATTACAAAACATGATTTTTGTCAGCCAGATTTCTTAATTTTTTTTCTCCTTAGTTTAGGCTTATAGCATTTTGCCATTTTTCCTCTGCATGCACATGTGGTGGTCTGATAAAATGAATAGGAAACAAAACAATCTACTGTAAAGAAGTTAGGGATTTGTCAGTTCACCTTTGAGTGTGTGTATTCAGTTGCTGCCAAATTTTGAAGTCCAGCCAAAGTTTCAAGTACTGGATTCAATTCTGCCCTGCTGCTCCGGTGTGACTACATATAATTTGCACCTCTATGTATGTGAGACAAAAGAAAAAAGGAGTCAAAAGCAGTCTAATAGTTGCTTTCTTCTATTACTTTTAAAACCCCGCAGTTTTTTTTAAAAACAAAACCTTACTGTTCCAGTTATCTGCTAGTAAAGAAAAAAGGAAATCCAAAGTAACGGCAGTGAAAGTTACATTTGAAAATGATCTTGAATGTATGTTGGATCATAAAGAAGCCATTTTCTTGAAACCCTTCATCTAGTTGTAAACATTTGCTAATCCTCCATTAGTTGCAGAGGATTATAAATTATTCTATAAAATCACATTAAAAAGGTAATTAGTTATGTGAGATATTAGCTGATTCATATTTAATAGATTTTTAAATTCATACAAATATAAATAAAGAATGGTAAAACTTCAAGAAAAATAATATACATTTAGTGCAAATTATGAGTTACATTTCTTTCTACCTTGTCAGCAAGTGGAACATCTTTTGTGGAGAAGAAAAAATAAAAATGATCATTCTTCAACTTCACAGGGGGAAAAAAAAGATCTCCAGTGTTGTAGCATGCATTTTTACCAGATACACGTATACAGAATTGTTCCAGCTCTTAAACTAGTAGAATAGCAGTATTTTTCCTTATACTGCACAACATTGGTATATATTATAGTGTTTTCAATAATACAAAAATTGCATAAGACCAGGTCACATTATTGATACTTTCTGCAGCAAAACCAGTATTTTTCTTTGAAATACTAGTTTCACCTGGTTTTAGTTTTCTCTTATCATGACAGCACACAGGTTGAGAGAAGTCTCACATGGTTCTGGCAAGGTATTACCTGTTCAATCTGGTTTTGTTGCAGTGGATCTGCACTACCCCAATCATTTCATGATTTACAAACTTAGACATTGAATGGCACAAGAAAAACCTCCCTTCTTGTGATCACACCTCAGTAACTCACAGTACATCTCAATATGAGAAACAACTGCTTCAAAAGGGCACACCAATTTTAAAGAGGCTTTGTTACGGCTCAGGAGAGAGAGAAATAAAGCTCTTCTGGAATGTAGAAATGTGACGTGTAATAGTTAATACGTTTCATGAGTTAACACAACAGTTTTCAATGATAAGAAGGGCAAGACCTTTCAGTCTTCACAAGATGGCTCAATTCAGAACGATCCCTCCAGAAACAGGGATTAATAACACATCTCTTCAATGCTGAAGTACCAGGCTGGGGCTGGAGAATGGCACCACTGCACGGCTCACCCACTGCACTATCATGGCAGACCTGATATCTCAGGACGCATCCAGTGCACGACAGCAGCTCTCCCTTCCCACACTCCCATCAGCCTTCCTCATCGCCACATGCTCCCCCAGACTGACTCCTGATTGCCAGCAGCACTGTTACACAAAAACCCAGCTCTCGTCTCTGATTTTACAAGTATTCCCCAGACTAAAGTGTTGTGCTATTCAACAAATGAACCTCCTCTTCCGTTTCCTCTCTCTCCTCAGCTATGGGTTTCAGTTGAACATTATGGAGGCGGGGTCTTGGTTTGCCGTCTGGGCCATATGACGGAGGATATCTTTTTTTGTTATAATGCCAAGGAGGCGCCTGAAAAGGATAAATGGAAGACTGATATTAATCCAAGCAGGAAAATAATGAAGCAGAACAAATCTGTAGCCAAGTCCTTTTTGTTGACAGGAATAGAGCAAAAGTAAACAGCCTGATTTTCTTATTTAAACAGAAACATTTTATTTATCAAAATGTTGAGGAACCACCAGTTTGATAAAACACAGCAATGCTGAGACACTGTTTCAGATGGTCTCTGACAGCTGTAGTCCATTTTAATGAAATACAAGTCATACAAGTAGAGCCCATTACAATTTTTATTTAACTTTTTGCTTCTACAAAAATCAAATTTTGATTAGCATATGCCAACAAAAAAGTAACAAAGAGGGACAAAGAAAAGAGAGGTATGAAAAAGAAGTGATATTGATCTCATTTCGCAAGGGAGGCATGTTCCAAACTAGCCATCAGAAGTGATGTACTGCTTGATGGCTCCAAATCAAGCCAATCACACTCCCCTTCCCTCCTTTTTTAAACCAGAAAGATCCTTCCAGTCTTACACACTGTCTCAGGTTGAATGTATGCATAGGAGCACATGGTACTGGCCATGAAACTTTTGTAAAGTAAATAATAGTTAATTAGTTTTTGGAGTCCATGGCATCAGAAAAAAGTTAACTATGAATAGTAAAAGATAATTTTAATTTTTCAACTTAGATACTGTGCTCTTATGACAGGGTCTTTTATAACTGTAACTGTGAAACATCAAATAGAGTGAGACTGTCTGAAAGGATAATATCACAAGAGAAGCAAAGAGCAGAATAAATGAGCTGCTGCCCTTGTTTTATTCTGGTTAGTACATTTCAGTTTGTCTTATTAAAGGATGCATGAAATACTTGTGAAATATTAGCATAAAATGAGAACATAATTAGCATGTTTTGCACTTAAGCAGCTAAACATGGTGGGGATGTTTAGTAGACATGAAACTAGCAACCCATGTCCCAATTAAGACAAAGTCTACCACCTATCTAAGGGGTTAGTTCACAACATAATGGTTAAAATCATATCTAGATTCTGAAGTCAGCAGTCAACATAGTAGCGGGCCACTTGGTGGCTAAGGGTATCACTGCACATTCTGTACGCTGCTGTAGGTAACAGCGGCAGAATCACAGGACTTTACATAAAATCCCAGGACTTTACTAAAAAATAAGAAATTTTTAAAATCATGTTGATAAAGAGGGATTACAGGGAAGATCTAATGATACAATTAAAACATGCTTGTCTTTGCTTCTCAAAAGATGTGATGCCTTGCTATTTAACAGCTATTTAAAGCTGTCCAGGTCAGAAAAAGAAATTGGCATATATGAAAATCTAAATTTGGCAGGGAAAAAGTACTCCTAGCTGCATGCCTTCCCACCTGGGGAATTCAGCAGATCAACCAGCAGATCTGTGTGATCTTAACAACACAAGTACCAGAAAGTCTAGTTTACTTTGCTTTAATGTTGTGATTAACAGTATGTTCACATTTACAGCTTCATTTCTACAAAAGGATTTTGCACATGTTGTTTTATGGTTTAATACAGATTTTGAGCATAGGAAGATTTCATTGTTCAGCTGATGTCATAAAAGCCCTGAACAGTTCACAAGTTTCATGCTTCCTGACTTCTAATGTGTCTAATTATGAGATCTGATATATCTAATCACCAAGGGTTCGACGTGCTGCTTTAGTTGCTCGAGATGCTCTAATATGTTCTTCTTTGTGATGATCCCCAAGACAATCCTGAAACAGATTATGTTATGCTAATAACTGTGTGTGAAATCAAATTAAAAAAAAG